ATAGAGCATGAAGAAAGGTAGCTTATACATAAAGGTATATGACGTTAACATTTTAGTATTCCAAATGGCTTGTTCCAGTTTAATAGTTATCACTCAATGAAAGAATTGGTCACTACGAAATGTTTGAATGAAATAATGAAAAAATGAAATCCAGCATAATGAAAAGTTTAAATATCATAAAGCAAGATGTAATCAAGCATAATGCAAGTTCTAATGTCATGTAGCAAGATAGAATTAAGCATAATGCAAGTTCCAATGTCATCAAGCAAGATGGAATCAAGCATAATGCAAGTTCCAATGTCATCAAGCAAGATGGAATTAAGCATAATGCAAGTTCCAATGTCATCAAGCAAGATAGAATAAATGCATTAATTCTGTTCCATACATATCGTCGCTTGAAAAACGTTTTGTTCTAAGTGCCATTTTGTTGTTTTTGAGAAAAAAAGCATGTAAAGATATTTCATTTATTTATTGTCGGATTTTGAAAATTTAAAAACTACTAAACGTGGTGTCGGGAGAACAACTCAATATCGTTAAAGATATGTGGATTTAATATTTCATTGCTTAAAAACATAAGGAGAAAAAACAGTCTTTTTAACTTTTTTTTTCAAAAATTGTTAAAATCAAAGTGTTCAATGTGACATGGTATATAGTTTTCCGATTCATTGTGATATATAACAATAAGTGATAGTTTGAAAATTCTTCAACTGACAGTCCCAGTCCGGTTTATTTTTGATCATCCCTCGTATGTCCTGATGACTTACATATACATTTAAAAGTAAGATTAAGCACATTACTATTCACAGGGACACTGATCATTTCCACTACACTATAGCCAATCAGGATGATAACGCTTTATCAGACATTCGTGCTTACTTTATAGGCTGGGCTTACATTCGGAACTGCCTCGGCTATTATCTATTATATTAACCTCGGAAACAATACGGATTAAAAGTAGTTCTACCACGTGATTTCAGATGTAAACAGAAACAGAGATAATGTGAAACGAATGTATATATTTGACACCAAATGCCTGTTTCGGTACTCTTTTGCTTGAAAATATGTCTGACAACAATTTGTAATTTAAATATGCCCACTGATGTTCAATTTTAAACAAATCCGACGAAATGTCAACAGGTTGGTTTTTTGTACTTTTGGTTTCTACAACCATAATAATAAATATATAAATAATGAATTATTTGCTTTTGTACCTATGATATCACTTATTTTAGGTGAACTTTTACTACATATATTGGAAATAAACTTGTAAACAACTCCCAACATTAAATTACTATTTGTTTACATGTTTAGTTTCTTAGCGTAGGTTAGACCGAAATACTGCATCCGTTCTGTGTATTCATACTATTGTGTTCGAGGTCCTTATCCGAAGACTGATGGAATGGGCCGAGTAGTTGCGATTGCTGGGCTTAATGTGCTTTGATTCAAATTATCGAATAAATATTTTTCAGTACTGTATCCAATAAATATTTTAAATTATACAATATATATTTTCAAATATAGAACATATAATTATATAGAAAGTTATCGCACACAAATGTTTTTGGATGAACAAATAATTTTAGAATGAATATAATGGTAAAGCATATAAAATTAGAGTTATACAATATAAATAAAACATTAAATTTAATTAAATTTATTGAATATTGCAACGTTTAACATGCCATACACTTCAAGTTTATATATTCCTGGTCTTTAAATTTACTGTTAACGGCATGAAGTCGTTACACCACCGTCTATCACCGTTGTATAATCATACTTGTCGGCAATATCCGGGACATTACGTCAATGCACACTGGCTCTACCGTAGCTCTGCCTGTTTCACCGTGGCAACATCGTGTCATCACCGAGGCTTTGCCGTTTGGACATTGATTGACACGTATCCCGGTTAACTACGATTTGTCATGGTTTGTTTGTATTTAAATGTTTAATACAACCGGGGCTCACCGGCACTCACCGGGAAGAAGTCCAAAACCATGTTCTATCGGCTTGGAACAGGGAATTGCCGGGAAACCACCGTATCTATACTGCATCCAAACCGTGACAAATCGTAGTTAACCGGAGTACCGTTGGCCTAGTGGTTAAGGCGTCCGCCTTCGGATCGGGAGGTCGAAGGTTCGAGCCCCACGGGGAGTGTTAATTGAAGGATGAATGTTTCTCGTGGGACTCTTTCAGAAATGGCCGCTTCGTGAGCCGCGAGGTAGTTAAAATGAATGGTTACCGATTTCTATCCGCCTGGCGCCTGGCATAGTGGTAGGAATTGGGAGGTACATGGTATGCAACCAAAAGGTGTCTCATAAGTCAAAATGGCTGGCCCTTTCAGTAGGAGTGACACTATAATAAACAAGACCTTTACCTTTTTACCTTTTACAACCCTGGCGATCACTCAGTTTGTTCCGGTTCACCATGGTTTGTCCCTTTACTTCACGGAATCGCAACGGCCCAATGCCGGTTTACCACGATTGATCCCGGTTGACTAAACCGTGGCAAACCGGGACACCAAACCGGGACAGTGTAAATGGGGCTTAAACCGCCCGTTTATGACTGTATAACTATTAGCACTAGAAACAAAAAAAGGTCTTCAAATCAATGAAATGACTTAAACCGAATTCTGATAGCGACAATATCATAATACCTTTAAAATATTGCCAATCAGGGTTGTAAATGAAAAAGGGAGACAAAAGAAAAATACTAATCTATTGAGAATTGAATTTCAATTGTATCTTTCTAGAATACGCTTTCTAACGTCAAAATTACATTATATAGCAGCTCAAAACCTCGATATGTAGGTTCATAAAAGAAAACAATTAAAACAAAGATACTTTTTGTTAAATGGCAATTACAGTAAAAAATAACCATGAGAGCGTTAAAAGGTAAAAAAATAATACTTTAATCATGATTTTAACATGAATTTACATCTTGCGACATTTAACGGCAGTGGTGCGACATTTAACGGTAGTGGAAATTCGTACGACATTTAACGTTAACATAGCGACATTTAACGGCAAATGATTTTGGAACATTTAGCGGCGGTTGCGACATTTAGCGGCAATGGTGCGACATTTAGCGGTAAGTGCGACATTTAGCGGCGTTGCGACATATAACGGCGCCACACAGGTGTTGTGCATGACATATTGTCTTATTATTGTAACTAAGGCTCCCACGTTTACAATTTTTTGTAAACGTTTACACGACTGCTAAGAACCGAAACGATACCGTTTAAACGGTGGTACCTACACCATGTATTTGAGTCGCCAAATGATGTCTTTCTTTCTATTTTTAATACATGTACAAATAAAGAATGTGCAAGGCTCATCACGATTGAGTCAGCACACATTTTTTGCATTGTAAACCCATTTTTTACCAAAAATGTTTTATGGCACGAGCAATTTTGCACGGTAATGCTGTGTGGAGGGTTGTAAACACCCATTTTCCGTTTGTTAACTTTGGAATAAACCTCTAGAATTGATAAAATCCATGATTACAGGCAATGATTAAGAAATTTTGTAAGCCAATATGGTCATTTCGATTAAACGGTAAACAATATCGTAAATGTTTATGAATGAAAATCGAAACGAATCCGTTTAAACGTGTAATCGTGGGGGCCTTAATTGTAACTATTTGTGCCAAGTATTTTCAAAATCCCTTGAACTATGAAGAAGTTATAGATCGGAAACAAAATATACCCTATAACAGACTATGATAATTTTTGACCTCTAAGTGCTTGGAGGTAGGGACCAATGTTTTGCGCCTGACATATCGTCTTATTATTGTGATTATTTGTGCAAAGTATTTTTAAAATCCCTTGATCTATAAAAAAAGTTATGGACTGGACACAAAATATACCCTAAAACAGACTATGTAAATCTTTGACCTCTTCGTGTGACCTTGACGCATGACATATCATCTAATCATTGTGACTATTTGTGCCAGGTATTTTCAAAATCCCTTGATCTATGAAGAAGTTATGGACGAAACACAAAATATACCATATAACAGACTCTGTTAACCTTTGACCTGTAAGTGTGACCTTGACTTTGGAGGTAGGGGTGCTTGTGTTGTACTTGACATAATTATATTCTTAATATTGTGACTATTTGTGCCTAGTTATTTCAAAATCCCGAAGAAGTTCTAGATCGGACACAAAATATACCCTAAAACAGACTATGTCAACTTTTGACCTTGAACTTGGAGGTAGGGATGCTGGTGTTGCGCATGACACATCGTCTTATTATAGTGACTATTTGTGGCAAGTATTTACAAAATCCTTTGATCTATGAAAAAGTTATGGACCGGACACAAAATATACCCTGTAACAGTTTATGTTAATCTTTGACCTCCAAGTGTGACCTTGACCTTGGAGGTAGTTGGCCGGTTGACATGCTCATGACACATCGTCTCTTATTGTGAACAATTGTGGCAAGCTTTTTCAAAATCCCTTCAAAGATAAGATAATTGGATCAAAAACCAACACAAATTAAGTATCAAAACATGTTTCGCTTTATTAAGCTTCTTCAGTTGATACATATATGAAAAGATAAGAAAGTTATGGACCGGACACGACATATACCCTCAAATACACAATGTTGACCTTGAATGAGCAAGTGCAACCTTGACCCTGTAGGTAGGGGTCTCGTTGTTGCGCATGACACGTCGTCTTATTATATAACAAACATTTGTAACAAGTTATTTCAGATTCCTTTGATAAATGAAAAAGTTATGGATCGGGCAGGAAAGTGTGACGAACGGACGGGACAGTAATAATGTGGCTACTCTATTGTTCTCTCTATTGTTCTTTTTAGCCACACAAAAGAAAATAGCCACATCAAAGCATTACGGAATGAATGACATCAAAGAGAAAGAACAGTTACCAATTGTCCCTCTAGCCACATTTTTACTGTCCCGTGAGAGCGGACAGACAGACGGACGGACACACAGACGGAGCCTATTTCTATATCCCCCTTTTTTTCTTCGAAAAGGTGGGGGACAATTACAAGCAACAAAGATTTCATCGAGCCTCAGTTTGTTATATTAAAGAAATCGTTAGTGTCAGAACCAAATATCACAATAATTTGGAATGTTATAAGCTTTAGTGATAACATGAGAAAATGAATGCGTTCACAAAGTCAAAAAAACCGTAAAAGACAAAAAAATTATGTTTGTAAAACATGTATGCCCCCTAACGGCTGCCAGTTAGTCATGTGACCAGGAAATTGTGACTGACTTTTGACCAGGTGACCTAAAAATCAATTATTAAGGGTTATCTTCAAATAACTTCAAATCCATTATTAGTTTTATAAAAATATTAACCTAGGCAACTTGAGTTGTTGAGTTTTTGGTCGGAGAACTTTTTGACGTACAAGATCAATGTTATTTTCACCTTTGACCCTTGAATCAATAGGGGTTACCAGTTGTCTACTGGCAAAGACCAATGCACCTGTGAGGTTTGCAGGTAAATGGCCCATGTTGAGATATTGATTAGAAACTGTTTTTACCTATAAGGACAATGTGATCTTGACCACTGACCCCTTGACCCCAATAATCTATTTAGGTCATCTTCTGACCAACAGCAATGTATTTGTGAGGTTTGAAGGTCAAGCGTCCATGGGTTGTTTAGTTATCGATAGGAATCTGTGTTTAAGCACAAGGACAATGTGACCTTGACCTTTGACCCTAAAATCAATAGGGCTCATCTACTGGCCAAGACCAATGTACCTATGCAGTTTGAGGGCCAAGGGCCCATGTGTTGTCAAGTTGTTGATCGATTGTCGTTTTTACCTACAAGCTCAATGTAACCTTGACCTTTGACCCCTTGACCCGAAAATCGATAGGGGTCATTTACTTGCTAACACCAATGCACCTACCATGTTTAAGGGCTTACAACCCATGGGTTGCCAAGTTATTGATCTGAAACCGTTTTTACCTACAAACTCAACGTGACAATGACCGTTGACCCCTTCACTCCAAATTCAATAGAGGTCATCGACTTGCCAAGACTAATGCATCCATGCAGTTTGAGCACCAACGGCCTATGGGTTGTCAAGTTAGTAATCAGAAACCGTTTTACATACAAGGTCAGTATGACATTGACCTTTGACCCAAAAATTAATAGGGGTCATCTACTGGCCAAGACCAATGCACTTACGATGTTTGAAGACAAGCAGCCCATATAAGTTATTGATCAGATCCGTTTTTATGCTACAAGGTCAATGTGACCTTGACCTTTGACCCCTTAACCTCAAAATCAAAAGGGTCATTTACTTGTTAAGAACAATGCACCTACAAAGTTTTAAGGCCAACAGCCTATTGGCTGTCAAGTTATTTATCGGAAACGGTTTTACCTATAAGATCACTGTGACCGCGACCTTTGACCCCAAATCAATAGAAGTCATCTACTGGTCATGAACAGATTGAAGTTCCAAGGCCTAAGCGTTTTTTACTTATTGATCGGAAACCATATGGTCTACGGACCGACCGACCAACCTACCGACCGACAGACAAACGCAAAGCAACATAAACCCACTTCCTTGAAGGGGGCACAATTAGTTGAAAATAAAATCTGCATAAAAATAACAGTGTCGCGAATTTTATTTTAAACCAAGTAGTCCTGAACTATAAAATTTGAAGTACGCTGTCGCTTTCTCCAATTGTCTTTTCCTATACAAACACCGTCTCCTCGCCACCATTTCTCTAAGTCACGGTAGCTATGGGATTCTCGTGAAGTATCGTGCAACATGGCACAAACACGGCACCAGAAGAATGTATTGACAAATGATCCCGTGCCTTTCCAACGGAAATATTCATTGTAGAGATCATCATTTTGGTCTAATTTATGTAGGTATTGAGCAAGTTGTTCTGGGGATTCGAAATCGTCGACATGAATAAAAGAATGAGGAGGGGCCGCTCGAGCATAGTCTTCAGGGGCAGCTCCCATTACGATTGGTATGACGTCATGCCTGGAAAATAAATATTTTCACACAATTATATTTGTTGAACACATAGGTGAAGAATGATGAATCAAGTAATAGAATTGGACAATTAAGCGATCAGTGTTGAAACCAGGTAGCAAAACAAAAATACTCCAAATTTACGCTGTAGTTTGCCCATGCTCCAGTAAAAATATGTCGGTTTTAAACACAATATGTACGCCAGTATAAACATTTTCATGTTTTACATACTTAAATGCTTAAATTGAAGTTATAGTTAGTCTAACTGAATGTGGTATACTTTCAAGTATGCACAACATTAATCTCCTGTTTTGATCATCCATATCAAAGTTGTGTTTTTTTCATCACATCATACAAGTTATAAATATGGTAAGTTCCTGAAATTTGAAGAACGCCGCGATATGTTAAAATATGCTCAATCCAACAACATTGACCCGGCACTCTTGCATTTGACCCCATAGTCGGTTAAATTCCGTAAACGTTACTATCTATTTGTAAATCGATATGAATGTATATAACCAGTTGTTAAATGGTCTAAATTACAAATCCCTCTTAGCACAGTCGTTAAGGGCTTTTACTTCAAGAATATAGACGTACACTCGTAGGTTCGAATCCAGGTTCAGCCATTTTTCTTTTGTTTTCTTTTCTTATTCTTAAATTGCCATTTCTCTCTTATAACTCGTGCAAAACGTTTTGATTTTTGGTTGTGTATTCTATCTGTGTAGTATTTTTATTTGTATTATGTATTATTTGTCCTTTTTATTAATTAAAGATAATGTAATGAAATAAAAAATAAAATTGTATAAAAAAAAACACTACTTAAAAGGTATCCTAAAAACCAGATGTAGTAAAACGATTTCAAATTAATTTTTGCAAGTAAATGTCAAAATGAAAAAAATGCATGTCCTCATAACGTGGTGTTGGTAAGGTATCGAACCAGGAAACTTCATATCAGTAGTCAGGCATCTATACCAATACACCACAACGTGTGAAATTAACAAAGATATCGATATAGTTGTTAGATACCAATGTTTATCACCTGACCTTTACGGAAATTAATGAAGTGTCAGGTCAATATTGTTGGACAATAATATCATCGTTTCATAAGATAGAAAAAACATTGATCACCTACATAAATAAATAAATTCATAACGCTATTAATACTTGCACTGTATGCAGACGATATTTTTAGCTTTTATTCAAAACTATTTTCTGCTATTTATAAACTGATTGTCACCCTATTGTTTAGATGCGTTTCTAAGTAAAAGTTTGGTTCACTCTAAATGAACTTATCAAAGGAACATATATCAAGTTGTTGTTTTTATTGTGTTTTTTATATACAAAATAGGGCATAAATAAGAACTAATATACCAAAAAATTCTATATATACTTTCAAATCATCATGATATGAATAACTTCTTTTTAATAAGGTGTTGCTAATATTGATTGTGAATTAGTTGTTTTTGAAATACGCAAACTTTTTGAATGCATTTGCAGGTAAAACACGAAAACATGGTCAGTGACTTCCAATTTTATTTATTTTTTTGTTTTTCTGCTTAAACTGTTTATATTATCAATTTATCATATTTTAAGATCATGCAATGCTTAAATAAATTTTAGTATTTTGATTCTGCTATATGCATACAGGTCTATAAATTATGTAACTATCCTTTAATATTTCGTTACTGCAGCATGACGTTTACCTTATAACGTTTAGGTTACATTATTTCCACATCCTCCATATAGTACATATATACTGACATAGTTAAGAACCATACACGCAAAATGCAAACATACGTACGGACAGACAAACAAATTTTGTACTTGCTATAAAGTCTGTTGTAGGCCTAAGAGTATTACATTTTTAAAATGAATAGTTTACAGTTAGGTATTCATTTTCACGAATAGATACCAACCTTTGCTTTCTTATGTATAATAAAGAGCTGAAGCGTCGTACAGTTTGAAGCGTTAACATTACATATCTCTTTAAAATAATAAAAATTATTAATTTTTTACGCATACAAATGAAGTGAGCTTCCATTATATATCTATTACTTAGGAAGCCTCAAAATATGATCAATGAAATGATTATTTCTTTTCTCTACTTTTGTGAATTGCTAGTCAATTTCTGTTTAACTTACGATTTTATTTCTAATAAACTTCTCCAAGTTCGCGCCTAGTGATAGCTGGAACTAAAGCGTAAATTTGAAACAGTTCGTTTTGGTTTACCAATGTGATAACTGCCATTATAATATAAAAATAATGATAAATATATCTTAATCTAAAGAAGGTAACACATAAAGATATACCATCGTAGAAAACAAATAACGTATCTTAATTCTAAATGTGGCCTTCTAAACAGTTTATAGAAACACAAACACAAAACATCATAAAACAATATCAACTATTCCATTACGATTTTGATTTTTTTTTACAAACTCTCCTTTAAGATAATATGAATAAGGCAAAGCCTCAAAGCGAGATCTTTGACAGAGAATATAGTACATTTTAATTTAAAGCCATCAGCGGCTTCACATTTTATGTTTTCAATACACTTAGAACTGCACACTTTCGGCCGCACAATTCACTCAACACCAAATTTTACATTTTCCGTTTTAAAACTGCCTTTCGGTATTTTATGCACTGCTTCCGTTTATTCTGGTCCCCTGTCCTATTATGGTTCACACAGAAGACCAGGAAAACGCAGGAGACCAGTCTACGATTAAATTGGTGGTGTTCAACCTATCATCGGAGTGCTCCGAAAATCTCAGAACGCCTCACAAAGATTTTATTGGCTACGCTCTGTGTATCGAAGTAAAGGGGACCACTGCATCGGCGTTTGGCGTCCCGTCCGCCATTTTGGTTAATCTCTAATCACAGTTGTTGTTTTTCTGTGTTTTTTTAATGTGTTGATTTATTAAAAATAATATGAAAAAGTACTTTTTATATTTATCATCGTTACTATAGTTCTTATCAATGAAATGCATGTTTATTTTCTGATTTTGAACATCATCACCGGAAGTGTTATTTGGCATGAGTCTTCAAAAGTGCCTTGATATCTATATTTAGCTCTAAAGGATTTCAAAATGGCGGCGCTCATCTAACTAAGGATTTTTCTCCTACTTGTTAGATTTATAGCGAGCTCGACGAGCTGGCCCGAAGGGCCTGCTCGCAAAGCGAGCTTTACGGTAACGCGAGTACCTGTTAAGTGATGGTTTTGAAAACTTTCGTCCAAAGGACCGAATTGGACACATCGCAACCTTTCGAATTTAAAGATAACGATAAAAACTGAGGAATTCTGACTGAAAACGGATGTGTAGACTGGTCACCCGCGCACGTCTATGGGAACCAGAATAACGGAAGCTGTGTATAAAATATCGAATGATAAAATGAAAATCGAAGGCGCCATTTTGTTTGAAATCTGATAAATAAAAACATTTTTTTGTCGAATTTTGTCGTGAAAAGTATCTAGAATGAAAGAAAATGGACTAACTAAGAAAATGAATCCGAACACCAATATCTTTTATTCAGTCGTTAACGCTGTACAGACGTTTAAAGTATTGTTTACGTGACGTCACAATGTAGCGCCAAACAGCACGTGCAAAACAAACAAATCAAGTACGCTATTTTAATGTCGCAAACGTTTTAAGTTTTACATTTAAATAATCTTTATTTCGCTTGAAAAAATATAGAGTGAAATAAAATAAACAAAGTTTGATCAACGTTTTCAAAACTCGTTATTCATTTCACGACAGGGGAGGAGCCATATTTAACACAGTACGTGTGACGTCACACGCATTTGTAATAAAAATGAGCGATTATTTCATACTATTTCACGTAAAAAGTACATCGAGCTCGCTTTGAGGCTTTGCCTTTTTCATATTATTTTTATTGATTTTAATGTGAATTCAATTTGATGGTGCTGCAGTAAATTTCCTTTGCTCCAAACAGTATAGCAATTATCAAATTCGGCATTACATGTATGCATTAGAAAATAACTGTTTCATTTAATCTGTCAAATAGTAAGATATACGCCTCAATAATGCTATTTTGAGTTATGTTTTGAACAAAGTGCTTATCAATTTATCAAAGTTATTATCAATATCAACACCTAATGATTTTGTATTTTAACATAATATATATTTTTTTCTTTTGCAATACAAGTTCATTACAATCATTACATTTTGTGTCGTAAATAATTAATATTATGCATTTTGTTTCATTTGGATGGATTAACATATTTAACTTGCACCATCGATCTATTGCATCCAAATTTCGTTGAAGTTTACTTTCTTCTACATTCAAATCATGATCAGATACAAATATGGTAGAATCGTCAGCATAAAGATCTATTTTACCATTTGTAATAGCTAAAGCATTAATCAATGTAAAATAAGAATAAAAGGGGGTCCAGAATAAATCCCTGAGAAACTCGAAAAAATATGGTAAATAAGATCAACAAGGAAAGGTGGCGTTCAATGAAGTTACAAGACATGGTACGTCCAACTGTAACAATTTGCGTTCTATATGACAGGTAAAATTTGAAAAGATGGACACTTTTATGAGAACAAGACATGCCCACGCTTCAGATCAAATCTTGACATAGCATCATCCAAGGTGACCAAAAACCTTAACCAAAAACCTGACCACTAAGCACAATACTTCAAAGTATAAGCTTTATACAGAGCTGACAACCAAATTTTGATATTTTTACTTGAAATTTGACCTCTTGTGACATTGGCCTTCCTTTTGCGCAAGTCAACTAAATTCACCATGGAAAACATTAGCTTTAAGTTATTAAAATCTATCCATGTATATAGATGTTATACAAATGAACGTTTTAATTTGTTTCTTGACCTTTGACCTTGAAGTAAGATCTGACCTTTGCCACAGACACCTGAATTTTTCTCAGGACACTCCGTCTCTCTAAAACCCCGCCACGCATGTAGAAGTTACGCTCCGTGTATTTTGGCCGAACCCCCAAGTGTGACCTCTACCTTTGAGCGACG